GAGAGAGAGAGAGAGATGACAGGATGAAAGGAAGTGTAAACGAGGCCTTATTACTGTTCATGTTTCTCTGTATGGCCCTAAAATGACGTGGCTGAAATTGAATCAGTTGCAGAGGGTTAGCAATGGCAAATGAAGTTTATGAAAATGAGCTGATTTTTAATTAGACCTTGATAGGATCGCTCTGCTTTTCATCTGTCTCCTCTGCCTCAGCATCAAAAGAGTCTGGCCCGTTTGATGAACACTTTACTTGCTCAAAGTTGCACACAGCACTGCAGAAAATTCGACTTTCATATATCTAAAGCCGAGCAAGATAGGAATGTGACAATGTGACAAACTGTTGCAAAATTAAATTGGCTTGACTTAAGTAAGTTAACAGGGCAAAGTTAGAGTTCTCTACGGAATTTAATATTTCAAATATTTCAACTTAGCTTTCCCTTCCATCAAACTGACTGCTATAACTAAAAGTATATGTATATATACATACAGTAAAGAGCTCACATACTGAATGTTCCAAAGAATAACCTGGCTATGTCTCCAATGGCCTACAGTATGTCTCAAAAACATACAGTAACAGATAAGTTTGAGTGTTAAAGAATCTCAGCAATTTTGAGATACAATTTCCAGATTTATCACGGTTGAATTTTCCTTGTGACATAATCTATTATATGCGTAGTAGTCAGTCATATATGGTCAGATTCCTTTTGAAAAAATGTGCAATACATCATAGTGTGATGGAAATCCATCTTCATGCTGTGTTGCCATCTGTATTTTAAAAGCTATGGGGAGCATGCTGTGCCTACCTTTATATTTGCTACAGTTCCCTTGGAAGCTCTATGCTGTCATTAAAATGGCAAAAGCAGGCTACATTCGTTGCTATTTTCTTCTTGAAGAGAAAAGGTTGGGAGCATGAAAAAAAGCTAAATTATGTTTATTTGTTAGAGAAGAGTGTAGTAGAAAAAGAAAAATGTGGTTACCTGCTGCACACAATGGAGATAGCAACAAGGGAAACAATAAAGACCACTCCTGCTGCCGCTGACCCCGCAATGAGAGGAAGCTGTTCCCTCAGCTCAGACTTGAAGTCATCTGTGTTACACAAAGAGAAAGACAGAGGGACCAATATTATGAATGGCTTAGGTGGAGCTTAAGGAGCATGACTGTGTTTATTCAGAGGTGTGCATGTGAGTGTGTGTCTGGGAGGTAAAGGAGGAGATGGGGGAAGAAGAGGCAAAGCGGACTGGGTGTACTGATGGATAAAGAAAACATATAGATCTCTCGCTCTCTGTTGAGCTGTGCTGACTGAAATCTGGCAAGCTTTAGCAAGACTGACTGACAGGTTGTGTTTGATAAACCAGGAGAGAGATGGAGAGACAGTGAGTGAGAGAGCGTGAGGGGGCCTCTCCGCCTTCTCTGTTGCACCTGTCAGAAACGAGCGGACAAGAAAGCGCACCTTGGAATGTTGTTTCTCAGGTGTTGAAAAGGAAGTCATCTACTGCCAATCACACATATAGCCCAAACATGTTTTAAGTACGTAGCCAGGGCAGGCTGGTGGTAGTTCAGAGGACATCTTAAATGCCTGCCTAAAAACGCTACACAGCAGAAACCTCAGTTTTGTGTGCCTTTCTTCCCTCGACGTTGGCAGCAGCAAACACAGTAGTTAAAGCAATGCACGATTTAGCATGCTGCAGGCAAATCTGCGTCTAAATCCAATCCCCCGTGTAGAATGGGCCTATTGGATTAAAGTGATAAAGGGAGAACTAATGCATCTTCGGAGCAGCGCGAGAGCTGGGATATATGAGGAAACTCAATGTGACAGGAATTGCTCACTCTTTTAACTTGCACATTTATCAAGTACGTTTCGAGCAAACAGTGTGAATGATGTTCCAGCTACCCAAGCTTCCAGGCACTCTTCCTGTTCCCTTTTGATGCATATTAGGAGTGAGAGGTCCAGATAAATCTCCCCCTTCACCCATATGAGATTGTGATTTTCCCTGACAACCAGAAATCACACTGCTACCTGTTCCAGTGGTAAATAGGCTCCTATTACAATCAGTTAGTTCTCAAGGCCTCTGCCTAGTAGAGGACCGTGGAGCTGTGACATCAGTTACCTTACTGATGGACCAATCACTTCTCTTTCTTCACTGCTTGTGAGTATGTGTGTTTGTGTGTAGAGGTGGCGAAAGGACACCTTGTGGAGGTGTATGAAAATGTGCTGACAGGAAGACAAAAGGGATTATATGTTTTATTTGAGAAAAGACATGGAGGGAGAACAGTGGTTGGGTGGCGAGGTGGTGTCTTCACAAGACAGTGGAGCAGCATGACAGGGGGAGAGGAAACCGGCAGAGGGGCAGGAGGTGGAGCCGTGGGTGTGATTGTCAGCAGTTCTCTAGCGTCTGCTGCTAATTGCCTTGACGAAAGGCGCGCTGTGGCAGTGAGCCAACGGGTGAACACTGCTTGTGTGAGCGAGCGTGAAACATGTGCACGTATCTTGTATCTTGTGTTTGAGGGAAAGATCATTTGTGACCGTGAGAGAGAGCTATGGGGCCATGACTGTGCCACTACATCTGCTCTGCACAGGTAAATAGCCACAATGATCACCTTCATCATCATTATTATCCTTCCCATCTTCCCCTCCCTCAAGATCATCACCGTCTCATTCATCGTTATCATCTCCATTAACACAATACAATTTGGAAATGTCACTCCTGTCATTGATACATCATGAACTATAGCCACACTGGCATAGTAGTCTAGTAGTTACCAGTTAACAGTGACGCAGCACCCTGGCAAATCTGCTTGTGAATGTTACACATATCCAGTCAAATGTTTAATCCACCCAGAGTGAATCATGCTGTGTTAATTTTAGCACCGATTTTACTGCCTGGCAAGGCTATGAAAAAGTATTACATGAGGAAGTGATATGCAACGCCACCACCGCCAACCCAGCACACACACCTCCTTGCACTTACACTAATAAACATAGTTCCACAACCTTGCCAGAGTAGCAGGTGTTGCAGCTCCTCTTCAGCCCCTTCCCTCTCCAACAATCCAGCCCCCCCATGGCAAAAAATTAATCTCATCAACTACTAATCACAGCTATGCATTCTGGGATGGCTCTCTAGCAACAGAAGGACTGGGTGAAAAACCAATTAGCTAAGCATTTTGGATCAAGCACAGTTAGTTGCACAAACAAAAGACACTCAGCGTTCTACATATTCAAAGCTCCCACACACACACACACTCAAACTTGAGCATGAAGGAAATTAATTTAGCTGTAGAAATAGAAGTGCAATCAAACATTACCGTTCCCCTCTATCTCACCTGCTAATAATGCAACAACAAATACAAAGAACGACAAGAGTGTTACAAAGAGTTCGGATGTATGTGTGTGTGAGAGAAAGAGAGACAAAGTAAGACAGAGACGGATAGAGAGAGACAGAGAGAGCTGTTTCTCCTGGCTCGGCGATCCTTACCATCTGTGAGGGTTTGGAAGCACATCTTGCTGCTGTATTTGCCAAAACCAGCCACAGTCCTTGCCCGCACCTGAACCACGTAGACTGTACCCGGCCTGAGGCCCTCCACGCGTGCAGTGTTAGTTTGGCTTCGCAGGATGGTGGAGTTAATCTCTGCATGGTCCTAAAAGGAGCAACGAACACAGGGAGCACGTTAGAGACAACTTACAGAGAGGATGTCAGCAGGATGTGTTAAACCGCACAGTTAAGAAAAGTCTGGTAAAACAAGATCCAGTGGTAGTAGTTTGACAGTGAGACAAGAAAAAGGCTCATCAGGCATTCTATATTCAGGAAATAGTACTGGGAAAGTGGAACCAAATTTGGAGGAAATCACTTTATAATCGCTGTATATTGTAGTTGTTGTAAACAATACAGGAAATGTAGTGTACTTTTGATAAACACCATTGATAGAGGACAGATGGAAACAGTAGATAGTAGAGAAGAGACAGAACAGACCAGTTAAGGGTAGTGAAGCTTTTTTCTTTTTAATATATTTTGTTTTGGCATTTCGTTTATAGATAGATGAGAGAGACAGGAAAGCTACGGGAGAGAGAGGGGATGACATACATCGGAGGGAATCAAACCAAGAGCACTGCAGTATGGCCATGTTATGTGGTACGTGCTCTACCATGTGAGCTACTAAGACGCTCCAAAGCTCTCTCTTCAAAATGAAGTGAAGAGGTAACAAATGTAAAAAAATGTCAATTTGAACTTCACATACACACACAAGGATACCACTCACACAAACACACAACATTTCCTATTCATACAGTAACACACATACACAGTGTGGTAATTAAAGGCAATAATTTCTTGCAAATTACAAAGAGCAATAGCTGCTTTGGAACAGTAATAGAATAGCATTGCATATTTGTCTCTTCAGATGTACTTTATGAGGCAGTTTAATTACTGCAAGAAGTTTGAACATTACATCCTCTTGTTTTGTTGTCTGAAGTAGGTTGCTTTTTAAATATGATGGCAGGCCAGTTCCACCCACAGAAAGCATTTTATTTTTTTTATTAAAGGGAATGCTATAAACATCCTTTGTGCACTCATGTTGTAAAATTCTATTAAGGTATTTTCCTCTTTCTAATGCTCTGTGTTTAGATTTCATCCATTTAGATCCTCTCAAATTTTTGATTTCACCGTTTTGGACGTGCATTTGTCTGTATGAACATACATTATGAATATATGCATTTGTCTATGTCTGCATGGATGCATACATATCCCCATCCATTATGGAAATGTATGGTTCTGACCGTGGGACCTGCCCTCCAGATCCTGTATCTCTGCCTTTCCCTCTCCAGGCTCAAGAGAATCAGTCAGGCAGTCTGCTGCAGTGTAGTTTGGGGCTTGCTGGAGGTATCTGCTACGGGGGATCAGTAATTACTTAGGCCTGTCACCTTCCCATAACCCAGAGTGAATATGACAGCCAGAAAATAAGACTGCACCTACACTACACCCACCACTGCAGGTTGCTGATAGCTAGATGCAGACATACTGTAGAGAGGGAGGGAGGACAGTTGAAAGAGTAGGGGCAAAATTCCCTCTGTCAATAAAACAGTGTAAATAAAGGCATGCTGTTTTTTTTTTTTTACATTGGTAAACACACTATTGTTTAGTGCGGGACTACATCTTATAATACATGTATGGCTGCTCTGAGAAAATATGAATGCAAAATCCGAGTTAACAACAGTTCGGAGTGGAAAAAGTAGGTAGGCAAGGAGGAAGCAAAGGAGGGAGGGGAGGAGGAGGAGGAAGATGATGTCAGGAAGCGATAAGAAACTTGAGGCAGAAGCAACCCACATCGAAATCATTATCCAATCTGATTGGTGTAATTGAATCATTCCGGTTGCTCCGTCATTGAGCAGACGAGGTAAACACAGCTATGAAATCTGCCCCCCACCCCTCAAACCCCCACATAATGATGTGTGCAATCACATTAGCTCTTATTGGACACTCTGGGCTTGATGAAGACAAATGTTTAGGCTTGGGATGGGAGAGCATCGCACCAACAGGCTTTCATTCTTTCATTTCTGAGAGAAAAGAGATGTTTATAAATGGAACACTGGATGTAACTGGTTTAGAGAGTTTAATAATTTCTCAGACCTTTTGTCCATTAGATCACACAATATGTCATCTTTCCAATGTGCTGCATACAGGCACTAAAACAAATCTGAAGCTCAAAGGGTAGGTAATGTTGGAGAAACTAGCAAGAGACGGCTAGATTTTTAAGATATCCAAAGCCACTCAGCCCCCAACACACATGAATATGCAGTTGTCATCTCCGTTGTCATTTTCAGCTTTATCCAACTACCTCAAGTCTCATTCATATTTCTACATACTATATAGTTCAGGAAAATTACCAATTTCCCTCTTCTCTTTTTTGTCGTGTTTAGAAGTAAAATCTGTTGTAGGTACAGATGGAACTATATATACTTCGGCTAATCTTTCTCTGCAATTATTGTGCAACTAGCTTGGTGGCTTTAGCAATTTCTAGCCGGCAGTTGTGGAAGACTCCAGCCATGCGCAGTGAGTGCAGGTGGATGAAATGATTGGCTGGGCTTATTACAGGCCTGTGACTGCTATAAATACTGGATTTATTTATTTTTTTTTTTTTTTTCCCCAGAGCATTTGATTTATTGATTTATGTCAGGATGTAAAGAGAAGTTTAGCAAATATAACAAAAAAATGCTTCTGGAATACATTACCTACCCTAACTGTAACTTTAAAGTGGCAGCTTGTGGATTTGAAAGAACTGCGGAAGACGTGAAGCCCCATGAGAGACTGGGATCATAGTCACCCATTCATCTGGTATAAGACATGGTTGAGTGCACACAGACCACTTGGGGTCAGGAATCGCCGACTCTGGCTCTCGGTCATTCTGCATTTCTCATGACCACACCCCCCATCTGTTAAGTTTGACTGGAGGACAGGTGAGCAGACAGATGGCAAACTGCCAATGGGGGAGCATCCCTTGAGGGAGCACAAGCTAGGAATGGCCCTTTTCATGCTGCCAGTCAAATAGGGATTATGTGACACACACATGCATACACACCCACATCTGCCACTTAAAAATGAGCTGGCATTTGGCACTCCAGCAGGTTAGGGGATAGCCAATAAAAGGCCATGCCAGGAGGGACTTCCAACCATGAGAGGTCCTCTCCTGCTGCCAGTCAAATGGGGATTAGGAGGACCACACCCTCACTTGCTAAATAAAGACAGAGTTGCAGGTGGGGAGGCAGATGGCAGAGCAGCCAATCAAAAGCATTGCCAGGGGTGTCAGACATGAAACGAAAAGGGAGTTTGGTCTCTGCAGCATTGAGTAAAACAACAGACAAAATTAGAAAGAATGGTCGTCCTAATGTATTTTATTGTTTACTGTCTCAAGATTCTTTCCATGTACTGAATGATGGTGAAGCGCACTCACACCTTTAACATTTACTCTAGCTTTAATAAATTGTCCCTCTCCATTTCCTAAAAACCAATGTGCAATACTCTACACAAACCACATACTTGGAACTAATACTGGACTTATTTGGACACATTTATTTTAACCATTTTATAGGATTAATGACATTTACTAGATGTACTACATAAGCACTAGATCTATTATAATCCTATTGCTGGAATGCTGGAAGTCAAGTACTTTTTTACATGTAGAAAATTTCAATTCATTTTTTGTAATTGCCAATTTTCTACCAATTGCTATTGCACTTCCAGCAGACTGCAGAGGGGAGATCTCTCTTTGAATTTCCTTTCTGACATTTCCTCCTTATTTTCCTAGGCTTTTTTGAGGGGGTGAGTTGTTCAGACAAAAACCATTACTGTTGTCTGCCTATAAAGGCCACCGAGACATTATATGTGATATTGGACTATACAAATAAACCTGACTTGACTTGACTTGACGTGTGCATGCGTGTGCGCAGGTTGGCGTTTGTGTGAACTGTTGTTTGACTGTTCAAAAAATGCCAACCACCCAAAATGGATAGCATGGCCACCTGGCAAAAAGACAGACATGGTGGATGACCATGTGTCCTCTTCACAGGCTCACACACATGCACACCATGCAAATACACAAACACACACATACAAAGGGAAAGGAGGGTAGGGGCGGGGGGTGTATGAGGGAGAACATTCTAATATTATTTTTGTAAAGTGGAAATGAAAGAAAGAAATCTCGCCCTATTAATGATAAAAATTAAAATGTATTGCCTCCGGTAAAAAAAAAAAAAAGAAAGAAAGGGGGAAAAATGTGGGCTAAATCTCACAGAGTAGATGGGTTTTATTACCATATGCAAATAATTATCATTACCCAGTGAATTCTAATCTAAAAGGAAAATGGTAATTATTTTGAATGGAAATACAATGGTTATAAAAATCTAATATTAAATACCAATCGTAAATAAAATAATGTAAAAACACATTCTATCACCATAAGGCAACAACAAAAAAAGAAGGATTTTCCTCTCATTCTGATTCTGTAAAGCCACCCGCTAAACACTAGTGAGCGTGTTGTAAAGAGAGGTGAGAAGAATCATATTATCTACAGTAACTTGGAAGGGAAATGTATTTGCCTCAGCGCTTTCTGTTTGTTTTCCTTGTTCTTTGCAGCCACCTCCTTTTGAGATGACTCTTTGTATGCATTCCATTCACCTGGAGACTAACAAGGAGGCCGGAGTGAGTGGGGTGGGGAACAAACAAAGAGGGAGAGAAGAAGAAAGTCTGAGGGAGGAAATGTGAATACACTTGCTGGGGGACCAGGGGAGTGCTGCACAAGTCCTGCTTTTCATGGGTTCCATTAAAAATCTAAACTTGTCTGTACAACATCTGTGTGTGTCTACAAAAGTGTTGTGGTGGACTCTGAAGGCTGGCAGGGAGAGAAGAAAAGAATAATAAATACTTTCTCCTGGCTTCTCTTCTGAGGAATTACTAATTGTATCTAAAGTACAAAGGGGATTTCAGAGTGCCAAAAATGCAGATGGTGATACGGTCAGTATGCTGCAGATCCTGGTGACATGCTGTAAACTTGTATTTCTTTTAACTTCTCCCATTGCAGTGTGACAGTACTGCTGTCATCCAGAATGGATACACCTGAACTGCCGCTGACATTCACACACAAACACCGACACAAACTCACACACACCCTCTCTCTGACACCAACACACACAGAGCCATCAGTAACCAGAGCCAGTGGCTGCTCTGCTCCACTCTTAATGGAAGGCCTGACCTCCGCTATGCTGAGTTATTTCCACCCTCCCCAAATTTTCAGGCTGCCAGAGGAAAAAGGCTATGAGAGACCGGGAGCATGAGATTCTACTTTTTCTCTGCAAACCTTTAATTCACTTCATCTTGCTTCCCAATTTACAGGGTCCCGGGACCACTTACTCTGTAATGAGAAGGTGGGTTAAAGAAGGGAGTGAAGCCTGTTGAGAGAAGAGCCATCAGCACTCCCTACAGCTTTCAGGTGAAACTGTCAAAATGAACTCTTTTTGAGTCATTACCATCCCTTTCCTTCATCCCTTTCCTTGTGAATACAGCCTAAACTGCCAATTTACTGTAGGTAGAAGACTGGATCTTATAGTCTGGGGAAATATTGGCAATGTTTTACATACAAGCGCAATTACAGATATTGTGGACATCAAACAAACACGTTTAAAATCTTGTCTAAAACCACAAAACACAAGGCTATATATAACAGCAATATTACCAATTTCTCTGAACTACTTACTTCAAAGTGAAAATGAGAATATTATTACCATAAATATCTGTTATATATAACATATTTATGTGGACATTGTGAGTTATATTCAAAACAGTGTCAGTGATTACCTTAAATTTGACTTGTTTAAATCAGTATGAGGTTGTACAGTGTCCTGGTGTCTGATAAGCCTTTATAGACATTCAACTTTTATTCAAACTGGACTTCCTGGATTGTATTTATTTGTCTCACTGGTATGCTCCCATCCACACAGCCCCCACTGATAGAGTGTAAAGCCGAAGGAACAGCATTAGGCTATGAGATTCTCACTGGTCAGACTTTTCCTCATGCACAATAACAATAAAAACATGTGAGTCTTACAAACACTCTCCTAATGTCTTGAAGAGCATCAATGAAATATTTCTGTGCCATTCACGTGTATGTATGGTGAATGACCTTCAATGGAAGGAATAGGGCACCATCTTGGAACATAATCTCAAATTCCTCTTAATGCATCCATGCTTGTGTCCCAATGGCATTCTGGAGGCCAAACAGTCAAGGTTCACAGTTCAAAACCATCTGGGGACCTTTTGCCCACTCTCTCTCCATATTTGTCACTCTAATGAGAACTATCAAATGAAGACAAGTCATAAAAATGCTCTATACTATTATAAAAATAATGTGTTATCGTGTCTCCAACACTTAGTTGTGATATGTTAGGCTAATAGCTAAAATTACAACATGAAAAAAAAGGGATTTTTCTTTGATTATGATTATTCTGGGGTATTACTCAATACAGAGCGTGACAATGCCACTGCTGAAGAAGTCGCTCTTGTAAATGGGTATAGGGGGCTTCCTGTGAGATGGAGTGCACAGAAAGACAGCTCTCTGCTGTGCTAAGGACTAGCTGACTGTGCCAGGCACGCTGAGACAATCAACTCCAGAACCATAACAGTGTGACTACTGTCAGATTAATGCAAGCATCGGTGAGATGCATAAAAAGAAGGCGAGTATAGCAAGGCCATTTTGATATAAAAGCGCTTATTTTTATGATTGTATTATCCTGCCTACTGTATAAGTTACCCATGGCGTTGGGTAAAGCTTGGAGTGTGCAGGGAGTGTGTGATAGACATGGCGAGAGACTTCCATCCGTAATTGGCTTTTATGACTAAAAGGCCACATCATCGCATTATGGCTGCGTTGAACTTCCAGATTTTCTGCACCTCTCAAGCCTTCAGAAAATCAGCAAAGAGCTGGCAGGACTGACCTCGATGCATTGCAATTTAATTCCCTGCTTCTCCATATGCACCAAGCAGGCACAACACGCATGTAAGTAACCCAAGCCAACGTGCGTGACAGAATTTATGTGGCCTTTTTATTATGCATATAATAAATTTTAACTGGTATGGAAATTACTCATGTGGCGTATGCTGCTATTTGATTCTTTTGCTTAAATTTGCCACCACCTGCTTTTTTCTACTGAGGGTTGGTGCTCAATCAGGCACAAAACCACATCTGCAGTGACACTTTGGACAGCAGAGGCTGGCAGAAGAAAAGTCTGTTTAGAGCCTATAAAAAGCCTTGTCAGGTCCGAAATACAGAGTGTCAAAGGAGGACCACCAATGTGGAAGTGTGTCACAAAGCAATCACTCTGACTCACCTTCTGTGTCTTACTCACACTCATATGGTGGTACTTTTTCTAGACAGACACATATACTGTACAGGGGGATATGGAGGCACATTAAAACAGAGGTAGACACAGTAGAGTGCAACCACTCTGTCACCTGAATCATCCTAGTGCAATTAGCAATCTTGTCCTCCTTAATTCACTAATTTGTGATTACGTCGTGCTCATCTATTTGTGCGGGGACACGCTACATAAACATCAATAGGATTAGGTTTCATTGATATTCATGAGCTAATGGGAGGCTGTATAAGTGTTATTTACACGACACTAAGCTGTCTGGCAGATAAGGTTTCTCAGGGCCATGGCAATCGGATTCAATTTTATGACCTGTGCAATGCCGGGGATGGGGGGGGACAGCAAGTAATGCAGCTATTATTGGATAACTGCAAACATCATTTAAAAACATGATTGTTGTTCTCACTGATAGAAAATGTTAAATGTGACAAACACTATTCTGAGGTGGTGTTGTGAATATTGATCCAAGAACCTTAGCCAAAATTTGTTTGTGTGAAATAAATAACTCAACAGAAAAAGAAAAAAACATTTATAAAACTCTATCGATCTTTTCTTTTATTTGGAAGGCTGAACATGGGTGAAGGTGCACCAAGTCTCACAAAAGTCTCAGCTTAAGATGACAAAGAGCGGGGAAAGAACATGCATGAACAACCTTGCTATACTTATCGATCAGCTTTAGGAGGACAAACAGGGGCCCAAACAAAAAGCTGGAGTCTCGGATCTCTAGGTATCATTATGTCCCAGGCCTTGGGAAAAGCCTACAGGTCAATACTGGAGAAGCATAGGCACTGTGGGGTAGGGCTGGCGACTTAATAAAGCAGACGTATTGTGTGTGAGCAGACGGGTCGATGTGGCTCCCCCCAGACGCAATGCATTTTCACAGTGGGACAGGTTGCTGCACTGTGCAGAGTGGGCCTGGATCAGAGGTCAACCTATTCACTTCATCAGCAGCAGAAACCAAAGAACAGTGGGAGAGATGGAGTGAACACAGTGAAAGAACATATTATCAACCCAGGGGACTCTGCTCACAGATATCAAGAGAGCTTGGATTTTTGGGGGCTTTACATGCAGTTTGCTATGCATGTGCAGAGTAGGAGACAACACCCAGTGTCTGAAAGAGATCACACATCAAATACACACTTGCAGTCAGATATAAACATGTCAATTCTTAGATTTGCACACACTCACAAACACAAACACACACACA